AAAAAAAGTAATTTATAACGGAATTATTCGTTTTGTTTCGATTAATTTGCACAAGGGTGTACAAAATCTATTCTGAAGAGGAGAAATTAGACCTCTTCTTTTCTAGAGGTGCAATTATTAAACAAGACCCTTGCTGTAGCTGCCCAGTCCTGGTTAGTTTATAGTTACGGCTAAGGTTATAAAATAACTCAAGGTTACTTGCATCCCTTTAATTGCTTGCAAACAGTAAGGCCTCACTAGGTAAAATGCATAGCAGTAATTATGGAAAGTTTATTTAAGAGTGAAACATATTTGGAAGCAACGAGGAGACAAGGTGGAGTGATGGACAACAGCTTGGATTGACGAATTGTTCGTATTCCAGTCGAATCTATGTACATTCACTTGCTAATAACCTTGGGAAAAGGTATGAATCCTCTTCTATTCAGCCAGCCATGGGTATATAGCAGAACAGACCGGGTTCTATAGCCTTCGATGGCAACTGGTCTACCGCAGAAAGAAATGGCAGCCTACAGCGGGAAAAATGCCTCGTCAGTCATGTATCGAAATATATCACGCATGGCACATAACTGACTGATTTACATGCTCATAAGATTCCAGGCGTAGCAAAGTTTTGTAAATTCACTAAGATTATTTCTTAATATATAACCTGATGTTTAGCGAGGAGTTTGGCTCATGTAAGTGAGTTTTCTCCCATATTTGTGTTCAAACAACCCAAATTTTCTTCTAGTTTGGATACCAACAATGGGCTTAAAGCCAAGCATGACCTACTCTTAACCTTATTTTGGGGAAGAGAGACGGATTAAATGCTTTTTCCTAATTCTAATAACACGAAAAGGAAAACAGAGTTTGAATTCGTTGTGATTCAATTTACATTATTGGGCCACCTGATGGTTTACACAGTGATAACTATGCAAAAATATATTAATATCCTAACCATAATATTAGGATGACAATTTAACGATACTAAATACTTATGTAGTAAATATTTATATAATATATATATAAAATATATTAATATCCTAACCGTAATATTAAGATGATAGTAAACGATACTAAATATTTATGTAGTAAATATTTATATAATACTAGCAGTAGAGCCCGGCGTTGCCCGGGGATGTAACAGTAAGAGACAGATAAAGTATCGACCATCATAAAGACTGAAAAATGAAATTGACAAAGATTATTGTTTAAGGTTGACGGACACGCATGTCTTAATTATTTTTTTTTTTTTTTTTACGAATTGGTCAAAACCCAAACTCAAACAAAAACATTGTTTTCAATCGTTATGAGTCTATCGATTGAATAGAATTTTATTATAAACAATTGTCTTGTAAATGGAATTTTTAAAGCATTCTGAATGTAAAAATAAAGAAAAAGTGTGCAAGACAATAAGAAACACTACCTGCCAAAAAAATGTGAAGTTTTGTTGAAATCGGTTGAAAAATGTAGGAAATCCGATCCCATATATAAACGATAACACACACACACACACAAACAACCTGGGTTTTATAATAAGTATAACTCGATATGAGTTGTCCCCCTTTCATTTTCGCGATGCCTCTCAGTCGTGTTTTCAAATTGAATTCAAGCAAAAACAATTGTGTTTTTCCAATTTTTGGCGCTGTCAGAACCACCGCAAGGTAATTTTACGGAGCCCTGTGAAGTTTTGTTGAAATCGGTTGAAAAATGTAGGAAATCCGATCCAATATTTAAACGTACAGTCACACACACACACACACACACACACACACACACACACACACACACACACACACACACACACACACAGACACACAACCAACCTTTTATAATAAGTATGATATATAAAATATATTAATATCCTAACCGTAATATTAGGATGAGAGTAAACGATACTAAATACTGAAAGAAAAATGTCCGATACGTTAGTAATGGAAGCACATAGGGACCACTAAAGAGAAAATACATATAGAATAAATTGCATATTTGAGATTTTCTATCACTTGCCTCCCATAGACTCGAAGGAGTCGTTTCTATTATCATCATCTTTAGGTCGGGATGGAAGTTCATAGCATTTTTAAGTGAATTTTATAGACAATATTTTAATATCCGGATATAATTTTCTTCAAACACTCTTCTCAATGAGCAGTCAATTATTCCCTAAGGGCCCCTTGAGTTATAAATAAATTCTTTGCCTCAAAAGGAAGATGATAGCCTACTGTATCTCTGCATATATGAAATGTAATACACGTTGTTTAAAATTAAAACGAAGAGTCTATTTCAAATACGGGCATCCCCAACAATTTGAGGTAATAAAAATATTGGATTTAAAATAAATCCGTTAATTCTTTAGAAATTGCTTTGTTTACGTTTCGGTTAATGTGTCGATATGGTATTTCGAGAGAAAATAATCTGGAATAAGAAATATGCTTTCCTTAAAAGGGAAAATAGAACATTGCGGGACTGTTCGTTCTCCTTGGCTGAGCTGTCTAAGACATGCCGGATAAAACGGATCAAATAA